AATCTGAGCTAAGTAGGTACGGTCTTCTTGTACAATGTCTGTTTTACTGTGTTGTTTCAGAATTATAGGCGCATGTTAGTGCTTTATTAAACCTAAAACTGCTGCTGATGTTCTGTTATGAGTGCATGCTAGCTAGGTAGTTAATTTAGCTGATGTGAGCTAAGCTAAAAGGCAGTAAAACTGTGTGCCTCAGATGTGAAACAGAAATATGTGTAATTATGTACTAGCAGAACATACTGTGATCAGTCTCAGCTCTCAGACTTTCTACTTCAGTAGTACTGACAGATTTAAATGTCATTTTGTTTGAGTGTATTATTTTCAGTGATATAGCTAGCTAACCCAGGGATGTTATCACATTTGGACTCTTCACAAATAACAAAGGACTCAATAAACAACTTATTTACTCTTACTTTTTTCAAAATCTCTTTATTGATACTTTTTGTACTACAGTACATCATTTCCTTTGTTTTTTTTTCTTATGCAGTTCAATTTATAATACTATTCCAGATCATAATTAACTCCTAGTTTATTAATAATCAGTTAACATGTGTTTCACTTTATAATACTGTTCCTGATCATCATTAACTCGTAATTCATTAATAGTGAGTTGCTGTGTGTTTCACTTTATAATACTGTTCCTGATGTAACTGTGTAGTTACACATGGGTAACAACATTGTAACTACTGACAATTTAGTCAATGTTATAGATGGATTACAGAAGTACAGCCTATGTAATTACACTTTATAAAGTGGGACCACAAGCTCAAAACAAAGTGCACGCTGTGCCCTGATTGGTGTTCTTGCTTCACACTTCTTTCGTTTTGATGTTACATTTTTATACACACATTAAGCCAAAAGGAACGACATTTTGCATAATGTAGTGGAGTAAAAAGTAAGATATTTGACTTTGAAATGTAGTGGAGTGAAAGTAAAAAGTCTCCCAAAATGGAAATACTTCAGTAAAGTACAGATACACGAAAAAACTACTCAAGTACAGTAAAGAATTACATTTACTTTGTTACTGTCCACCATGGCAACTTACTTATGAAAGGGTCGAGATAGCAAATTGTGATCAGGTTTTGAGATCCAGCCACAGAAAGGTGCTGAACCGGCCAGGAAAGCCATGACACTTCATTAGTTTTTCAGTAGTGCTATTAAGATAATTTATCTAACAAGTAATGGAAGCTAACACTCCAGCAATTGCATTTCCCTACTGTTTCATTGCAAATGCATTGAAAAACATGAACATAAAGCAGCCTCAGTTGAAGAAATCATCTAATAATCTGGCCTGTTAGTAACCCCACTGCAGTCGGCTATAAAAGATCAGCTGTATGCCACAGCACTATGCACAGCTCCTAACTTGCAGTTATATGACTAATATTATATAAACATATAAACACACCATTTAATGTTATTATACAAAGAAGTATTTCTTGGTGAAAGTTTTTAGGCTATTTAAAAAAATCTTTAAAAATTAGTAGTAAAAAATTACTTGCAATAGTATTAGTTTGAACATGCTCTTTTGCATTCCATATAATCAAAAATTGGGAATAAAGGGACTCATTGTCCAGGACCTACAACAGAATAACAGAAATTTGAATTTAGATTTCATATGAGATTGGAGAGGTTGCATGGAAATTTTTTAGCAATGCAGTCCGTGCATCTGGCACAAGGAAATAGTTTTCCTCTTTTTGTTTCTCTCTTCATTTGAATGTTGTGATAGAAAGAAGTGTTTCAGTCTGAACTATTCTTTAGACACAGTGCAGCACCCTTCTGTCTCAGGTGAGTGATTCATTTACAGCTTCAAAAGATTTCATTATGGTAATGACAGCAGAACTGGGGCTCTGTGTGAAGAAATATTCATTATATTTACATTTTTTCCAGACTTCAATCATTTACAAGTCTAAGTGCCAATAAGGTTTTTCAGTTATAATGCCTTCCGTGCCTCTGAAGATGGTGGCAATCATATTAATGATAAGTATTTTCTTTAAATGTTTCCTGTTTTACAGTTACTGGCTCAGTGAACTGAAGCCTACCCTTAAAAGTTTGCTGAATATTTGTAATTTCTTTTAATACTACATAGGTGGACTTACAAAGACACAAACAGGTAATTGCTGTTCAGTTTTTATTTTATTTTTTACATTTTTCTGTCGTCATTGGGCCTAGAAACATGCTATGCATTAGATGTTTTCAGGCTTATGTTTTACAAATTCTCAAATGCTTTCCAATCTGTGGTTGACATTTTCATGTTGTTTTGGGCAATTGAGTGAACATCCAAAGCTTGTAGGCTACACAACAACCATCTTGAAGTTGTTATGAAAGAAAAATGTGGATGTACTTCTTACTAGGCAGTTAAGTCTATAGCATACCAAACATTGGGCAGAAGCAAATTTTTGACCTGAAATCAGATGCTTTTCTCCCTTGAGGACTCAATTTATAAAGATGTATCAAAATGAATGTTGCACTTGGAGTTTTGGGAGGCATCTTTATGGTGAAACACCATATACATAAACAGAACAAGGATGAGACAAAGAGTAATCAACCCCAGTAACTGTAGTGATGAGTGTGTACATCGATCAGGCGTAACATTATGACAACCTCCTTGTTTCTACACTCATTGTCCATTTTATCAGCTCCACTTACTATATAGGTGCACTTTGTAGTTCTACAGTTACAGACTGTAGTCCATCTGTTTCTCTGCATACTTTGTTAGCCCCCTTTTACGCTGCTCTTCAGTGGTCAGGACCCCCATGGACCCTCACAGAGCAGGTACTATTTGGGTGGTGGATCATTCTCATCACTGCAGTAACACTGACTGGTGGTGTGTTAGTGTGTGTTGTGCTGGTGCGAGTGGATCAGACACAGCAGTGATCTCATTTTAAAATTGTGCATCATACCATTATTATCAATTATCAATTGTTTTCCATTATACCATGTCAAAAAATCTTGCAAGCCAGAATTCTGCATATGGGCATAGAGCCTGGTGATTTTCACAGCATAATGTGGTCAAGAACCATCTACTTTCTCAGGAAGGCACTGATTGCCTGACATGTGAAACAAACAATCAGTGGGAGGAGACTGACCAATTGTAGTGGGAGGAGATTGGGAAAATTCCATGGATGTATATCTTGCAGTGTAAGGCTAATAGTGTGTCACAATGTCCTGTGCAAGCAGCTAAAAACAAAATATTTTCTTCTGAAAGATAAAAGGACTTATGCAAAAAAGCAAAAGATATCAGATGTTCGGTGTCCACGTTGGCCATGTATTTCCACTAAAAATCCAGGTCTTACTTTTGGCCCTAAGCTTGTTCTTCACTATGGAGAGAAGAGAGTGCTTTTCAAACATATTTATTTTAGAAACAAAATGTTTATTTGTTATTTATTTCATTTATTTTTATTGTTTTTCAATTATTTTTTTATTTGATAAGGGAAAAAATAACAAAAGTTAGAACCAAATTATTTTAATGAGACAATGTTTTAAGTTGCTATTTGCTCATATTTTGGGTATAGTTTACAACACTCATCACAGTGTTTTTAGAGCAGGTTTTACATAAATAATGATTTGACAGTTTTCCATATAACTATTGAACATCTTTTGTGCAATTAAAATTACTTGTTAGTTTTAGCTGTTACTGCAGAGAAACTTAAGGAACCTTTGACTTTAAAGATGCGGTATGTAAGATTTAGGGATTTGGAGACCTCTCTGGTGGAAATGAGTAATTGCGCACAACATGTGGAGGAATATTTTATAACATGGGTTGTGCTTCAGACCCCTTCCGCAAGCAGATGAGTCTGATAATTGCGAGCTTGTTGAAAGAGAATTCAAAGAGAACTCAGTCAAAACTCAGTGAAAGATGTGTCCTAACAACGTGTGATGTGGTCCAAAGAACTCCTGCAAAATTGGACTTGATGCCTCTGACTTTTATTAGATTTCAGGTTTACAGGCAATTCGCAGCAGCAAACGTACACAAAATTCCAGAGTGTTTTTATTCTGACTAAATAATGCTACTTCTCTCAATTGTAACAAAAAATCTGCACATTGCATCTTTAAGTCAGCAGTAGCCATGACCACACAGAGAAAATAAATTGTTGTTTGCAGCTATGCCATGAGCCAACTAACATGTTTTTGTTAGCAAAGCATTTTCATTTTGGGCTGTTTGAGAACATGTAACGGATAACAATCACTCTAGCCCAGGGGTCGGCAACCCAAGTATTAAGAAGAGCCATCTTATCATTTCAACAAAAATCAAAACACCTCAGGAGCCACAACATTTTCTGTCAATTTTACCATCTTGCCTGTAAATATGTCTCAGTGTACTAGCATAGGCTAAAAAATACAACATATACGAAAATCCAGACTTATTTTGCTCTACCTTAGGCCTTAGCTCAGCTATAGCTGCTTTTCTTGCATCTTTTCCACAAAATTGGAATAAGTTCTCGGAAAATGTCTCTCAACTTTCAACTTTTTACAAGGCTGAAGTCAGGTTCTCATTTTCCAGCTGAACAATTGAGTGAATTATTTTTTGGAAGAGCAACCCTCCAGTACAGTTTTAGAGACATATAGAATCTATGCCAAGGTACACTGAAGCTGTTCTGGAAGCCTCAATTCCTTACCAAGACTTTATGTTGATACGTCCGTTAATTTGTTTTTCTTCTGTATATACAGACCAACATATAAGGACCTTTCACAGAAAAACAAATTTATTTAGAAAAACAAATCTTAGGCCTGATCTATTCCAAGATTTTTCTCCAAGGACAAAATGGGATGTGTTCCAGTGTTTCAACAACAAAATACCCTGGATGTTCCTTTAGAGTTCTGAAATAATGTTTCGGGAAAGTGGAGTGTATTGAATGATCAAGTTCAATCCTGATACCTGGAAGTCTTATAGTTTAGGCCTGCTTCTTCCTGTCAGGATCTGGACAGACAAGTACCATCAAATCGGATCTATTTACTGTTAAATATGTGCAATAATGCACAAAATGTCTTTTATTCTCTTACAGTGTCACCATCACTGTTCTATCCATTTGGTTCGGGGGCAGGAGATGCTGTTAATCCCAGCATTGATGATGGAAGCTCATCTGCTGTAAACCTACAGAGTCCATTCTCTTTCTTTGGCCGTTTATACTCTCAGATATATGTGAGTGAAAACAGGTCATAATCATCAATAATGCTGAACTGGAAATGATCTGAGAAATGTTTCTAGTTGAAGATGTCGGCTTTTGTTTTCATTTGAAGGTTAACAACAATGGACACTTGACATTTGATCAGCCATTGGTCAGCTTTACACCTGTTCAGTTCAATATTTATAGAAGAGATATCATCGCTCCATTCTGGACTGATATTGATAATCGTGGAACCGGCATTATCTCATATAATCAGTACACCAGTGGCAGTGTCCTTTCACAGGCCACACGGGACATAAACCAGTACTTTCCAGGAGTGAACTTCACTGCCTCATGGGTCTTTGTTGCAACATGGGATAAAGTGGCGTACCTCAGCAGCCCAGGCACGGTAAGATATGGCACTGATTAAAGGTAAGAGGAAGGCCAATGCATTGTTTTTATTCTCTCACTGGGAGATGACAGTCAACTCCAAAATTATTGGCACTTTTCATCAAAAAAGGGAAAATATCAATATATTAATTAAACCACAGGTGCGCTGACTGATATTTTGAGTATAACCCCTTAAAATCCCAGGCTTATTACATATAAAGGCTTATTTTTCAGTAACTACAGGGACTTCAATGCAAACTGGTTTAGCCATTCTTAGGTTATAGAAGTGTTTAATAAAACTTTGGGCCCTGGCCATTTAAGGGATTAAGCAAATAGGTAAGCTACATATTTTTATTTTTACATTGTGTATTGAAACAAAAAAACATTTTCTTTAGTAAGACTTTTTTTGATAACAAAGGTTCCAAAAATATTGACACCCCGACTATTAATATTTGATAAAGCTCACCCTGCTGAGAATAACAGCACTGAGCCACTTTCTGGTGCTTAAGGTTATAGAACACTTGTTAAGGGATCCTGGCCCACTCCTCCGTGCAGGACATTTCCAGTTCCTTGACATTCTTGGCTCTTCATATGTGGACTGCCCTCTGTTATACACACGACAAACTTCCAGTTGGGTTCAAATCTGCAGATAGAGAGGGCCACTGCAAAATTCTGATTTTGTATCCCCACAGTCATTTCTGTGTGAAATTTTATGTGTATTTGGGGTCATTATCTTTCTGAAAGGTCCAGCCGTGGCCAAATGTAAGGCTTCTAACAGAGGCAGAAAATGTTTGAGCTAAAATCTCCTTTTTTTAATGGAATTCATTATGGCACTGATTTTCACGAGAGCCCCTAAATCACTTGCAGCAAAAAAGGCCCCGAGCTTCAATCACGCAGTACCATATTTATTGGATATTACATGCCTTTCTTTGTAGGCATGTAATAAAATGTGATGATGCAAAAAGTAACTTTTGCAGGACCTAAAACATACATTTTCCATCTCATCTCACCACATCGCATGATTCCATTTGTATTTCCAGCGACATTCTGCAAATATGACATACGAAGGTGGTCAAAGTACAGTGGTCCATATCATAAATATTAACAGTGCAACAGCTGAACAGCAGACTAATACAATAATGAAAGGTGTGCTAGATCCTGCTAAACAAGACATGGAAATTATGGAACGAGAAAAAAAAAGACTTGTACATACATATTTATGACTGCCATGTTTTAAATGGTCTCTTTCTTTTTTCTTTCAGCAAATATCGTTTCAAGTGGTTTTGATCTCTGGGGGCAATTCTTCCTTCGTGCTGATGAATTATGGTCCCATTTCTCCAACAAATCGCGCAGTGGAGGTAAAGTTATCTAAATATCTCTGTCTTATAAAATATTCTGTCTTTATTTATTGTTCTAAAAGTGTCTTTCTGCAGGCTGGATATGGCACCATCTCCTCAGATGGCTTTGAAATTCTTTGGTCTAACAGCACCGTCCAGGCCAATGTTCCAAATCTCATTAACACGAGCAATGTGGGCGTACCAGGGTGCTGGGCTTTCAGAGTAAACCAAGGATCTGCCAGCACTGCAGAAGGTAATGATTTTATGATTTCCTCATAGTAGATATACATTTGTTCCCCTTTCTTCACCTGAATGGGTACTAGTTCTATTTTTGTATCTGATTGACAGATGCATGTTTATTCAGAGCATGAAATCTTACCTTTGATGTGCATAGTATTCTTCATCCATTCAGCAAAACACAGTTATAAAAAATGCATGTCCATAAAATAAACAAATATATATACAAACACTGACATACAGAAAATCACTACTTATTTTATTAATGTTAATAAAAGATTAATTAATTTTATAAATTAACAATAGAACAGTACTATGTATTATAAATGTGGACTGTAATGTATATATGGGGTGGAAAATACTTGAGTCAACATACTTTGTTTCTATACTTAAGTGTTCTTTTGGAGTATTACTTATACTTATTTGTACTTAAGTATTATTTACATTTGTACTTTAGTTCAGTATTATTACAAATTTTGTAACTTGTACTTTTGAAAAATACTTGTACTTTTACTACTCAGTTACCTTCCCAAGGAAGAAAAACAATGTCATTTAAACCTTCATAAAGTTTTGTTCTTATTGATTTAAATTTGTTTAACATTTTTTTTTAGCTATCAGCATAACAGTCCCCATCAGTTTCACTGGAACAACTGAAACAACCAGCAAAACAGGTATGTAGGGCTTATGATCGATGCCATGATTTGCCTATGATGTTCAGTAGCGAGATGTATGTTTGCAACAATTCCCTTGAGACCTAAAAATAAGCAGAACACATAGAATGAAACAAAAGTATGGTGGAACGAAATATATTACGTTTTGTTTTCATTGTTTTTAAAAATATATTATTGTAGCAATCAGGACAAAAATCCTAATCAGTCCTACAAACTCTGATCACTGCTTCAGTGGCTCTTTTTTGGTTTACACATAGCTCCATTAACACTAGAAAGTAAAAATGATTTACCACATACTGTATCATGTTTGATTTTATTGGTTTTAAAATGTCTTAAGGCGACAGCACAACCACAGTCAGTTTCACAACTGCAACACCCAGTACAACAGTACTGTATGTGCTGCGTCTCTGTGCTTGCTGTGTGTGGTATTTCTACCAAATGTCATTCATTCTGCACTATATCACAGTATAGCAGTCAGTTCCCCTACCACAACCACCTGTACAACAAGTATGTAGTTCCAGGGAACTAGATACTTCTAGTTTCTCATTATTTTGAAAAGGTAGATGTACAGTCCAAAAATTTGGACTCTCTTGTCCAAAATAACATTTTGTTGATTTTCCTAAGTAAAAAATAGTTTCCTCTACAGAGAACACACTTTTGCATATTTTCATGCACAATAAAACTGTACATTAAAACTTATGGCATATTTTTTATTATATGCATTCTTTTTTCGCAATGCATTAATAAACAGAAATTAGCACTGACCTTTCCAGACATTTCTTTAAGTTCAAAGTGACTTAAAGCCATATTTAAGTTGCAGAGAATGTGTTAATGTGTCATTTTCACCTAGAAAATCAACAAAATATGTCATTTGGCCAAGGCCTAAAAATATACACAACTGACAGGATGATATGATGAAATATGTATATAGTGTAGATATATTGCTGAGGTTTTGGGCCACCTTATGAACCTGACATGTAACTCCTTCATTCATTCGCACACTCATGGATGGTTTTGGATGTTTCATAAGAGAAGTGCTTTCATCAATGACCCTGAATGTCTTTGTTCGCCCCAATATTTTTTCTTATCGTCTGTGCTTGATTGTAGATATCAGCACAAAAACCTCAATCATTTCCAAACCTGCAACAAAGAGGACAACAGGTATGTTCTATGTTTTGTGTGTTTTGTGTGTTTGTTAATTGATAAATAACTGAGAGCTAGCCTGTTATGTCAGCCATGCATGTTATGCAAATGCATTAAATCTGATATACAACAGGTTGATGTTCCAACCATCTGCACAGGAAACTTCCTAACATTTAGTTAGCTGCAGTAGGACACTCGTGTTGTGAAATTGGTAACATAACTAATAACATAAAGGCTCTGCTTTAAACCTTTCAGTAATATCATGACATTTAACCCTCTGGGGTCGACAAATGCACAGGCACATCAAATTAGTTGCTTCTCTGTGTTTCTGTTAATATCTTTGTGATAATGCAGTGGAGAAATATGATTCAAACAGTTCCTGAATCTGTAGAGTCTGCCCTTTAAGGTCTGAGCCAGTGAAAACTGCCATCTGCCTCTCACTGTGTGTAACTGGTGAATTTGTGTGTCTGTCATCTGCCCTTTGCTTATAATTGGTGGACTTGTGTGTCTATCAATATTTTGCGTGAAACTGACCAACAGACACTCAGGAAGTCATTAAGGACTGACCCATCACATCAGAAACCTTTCAATTTTCGTTCAGTTGCCTCAGACACAGACATGAAATGGTGTGTAAAAAGTTTGCAGCCGCTGAAGTTTTTGCAGCGGTTTGGGAAAGTAGTGATGATGATAAAATTTTATTCAGGCATTCCACTACATTTGTGAACCCAAACTTTAGTAAACCCATTTCAAGCAACAAAACAATTCATCCATATGAGTAAAGCTATGTCTTAACAAGAGATGTTATGTTTAAAAAATATCTAAAACCAGACTTCAGTTTTTAGCTTAAGGGCAGAAGTATCTCTTTACACAGTTCTCCAGGTCAAAATGGCCTAATTATATAAAAAGCTGAGATTGTTCTGAACATTTTGATATATAACATGAGAGGAACCATATCGTATGCAAGTGCCTAAAAGGCTGATTTAAGCTTGTATGCAAAAATCATGAAAATGCCATCAGAGTGTTAAACAGCAAGTATGAGTATGTACAAGTTGCACTTAAAAATAAGTGGACATAATTGTAACAACTAAAAAAAGTTACTTTTCAAGATATTTGGATATTTATTGTCCATCTCATTATACAATTACTGTTACACACAGAAAAGTATTGCTGGAAAAACAGCAGTTCACCCCTATTAGACCTGTGTAATTACATAAAAAAGTAATTATGTTGTTGCAATATGCCATTGCAACTATCAAGACACACTTGTGTAGTTGCATCATCTGTACAATAACAATCCACTTGTAACAATCACTGGTAGTTACATTGATGTTGCATGTATTGTTAATGTGTCACTACACAGTTATTAGAGACACTGAATATAAAATGAGACTCATGTTATTACAATCATGTGTATCTGAGGATACGCATAAAATGTAGCACCAGATTTTGATCCATTTCTCAAACTACTGCTGTCTTCAGTTAGCATTTGGGACAGTTGTGTCCCTTTTCGTTTTGTGGTTCTCCAACACAGCCTTCTTCCATCCTCAAAAAAACTTGTTAATCCACAGCAACTACCATCAACACTCAGAATATCTGGCATGTTGCACTCATCACCATGCAGCTGGCAGTGTTATATTTGGTCCCACTTTATATTCAGTGTCTCTAATAACTGTGTAGTTACATGTAAACAACATATGCAACAACAATGTGACTACTAATGAGTTAGCCACTGTTACAGATGGATTAAAGAAGTACACCTCATGTAATTACACATGTGTATCAACTTCAGTTTTGCCTCATTTAATTACACAAGTGTATCTTAATAGTTTCTCTCTCATGTAATTACGCAAGAGTAATAACAAATGTAATTACATTTGTAATTGGACTGGATCATCAGTTTTTTTTTTCAGCAGTAAAAGGAAGTATGTAATATCTTACATTGACATTTCTTACACTATATCTGCCAGCTTTCCTAACATTTAGCTAGCATTTTTGCTATTTTACCCCACGAGTGTCTATTCTGTTTTTATTACGTTTCACACATTAGTTGAACACTAAATTTTAACTACAATGTAAAAGGATGAACAATCATAAATATAGCCACAAAACTCTGAAGGCATAAAAATAATAACAATAGTAGCAGAGGATAAGATGGAGAAATGATTTGATCAAGTAATGGCTATGTATGTTTGAAACTACTCTGTAATGTTCATTAAAGAACTGTCATTCTTTCACTGATGAAATTTGTGTGTAATTGTGCCGCCGTTCTTGCAGTGCGACTGAAACTCACAAGCCTGAACCTAAAAGACGCCAAAAACCAAAATATCTTCTTACAACAGGCAAGTTGTTGCTGTTTCTATAATGGACTCAAACAGCCTCAACATAACTCTTACTGACTGTTTGCATTTTGACTTATTCCTCATTTTTTAGAATATGTGTAAAGCTCAAAAGAAAAATAACATTTCTTCAACTTGTTTTCAGTTGCAGGATGAGCTGAGGAGGAGAGGAATGCCAACTGCTGCGAGAGTGAAACTGATATGCATTAAGAAGACAAGCTGATTCATTGCTAGTTGATTCAGAGTGACCTACAAGAATGTGGTCATGGTTGTTTGACAGTCTGCAATCTTATATTGTTAATAATATTTTAGTATTTTTTGTGCAACACCTGCAACTGTACTACAATAGCAGAAAATAGTATGATTCAAACTGTTATATAAGCCCTATATAACACGAAAGTGAGAAAAGACAGAGGAGCAATTAGAAAGCCCAAACCGCTTGACAAGGTATTCATAGTGACCTCTAGAAGTCACAAAAGCAGTCTTCCATTCATCTCCTTCTCTAATATGATAAAATTGTAGGCACTACATAGGTCTAGCTTGGTAAAATACTGGGCTCCTCTGAGCTGTTCAAGGGCGACAGGAATGAGTAGAAGAGGGTATGCAAATTTCTTGGTGACATCATTACATGCTCTATAATCAATACATGGCAGAGATTTCCTTATTGGACCAAGAGTTTTGGGGATTATGTCTCTCTAACCAGGGAAGACCTAGAGAAGAAGAGTTCTGGCAGTGAATAGTTACAGGCAGCATGCTTGTGTGTGTGAGCCTGACAGTCACGTAACACATGACCTGTAGCACTACAATAAATACACAAGCCCTCATAGAGACGCCGAAATCTCTCCTCCTTAGAAAGCCTTGAAGATTCGCATTGCATAGGCTCAGGAGATATGCTGGAACTGGAACAGGAATCAACTGGAAGTGGAGCTAAAGATTGGGTTGGAGCTGAATCCAGAACTGAAACTAGATCTCTGACTGGAACTGAAGCAGGAGCTGGAACTGGAGCCAGAGCTGGAGCTAGACAGACTTTTAAGCAGTGGTACTGATCTTTGCGTAGAATGTTTTTTGCAACAGTTGATCCAGATGAATTGACATAGCAATTAGCTGATCTAACGTCAGTTCATTGTTTCTACATGCCAGTTTCTTTAACACATCAGAATTAAGTCAGTTATGAAAGGCATTTAACAAAGCAGGCTCATTTCAACCACTACCAGCAGGTATGGTGTGAAAGTCCAATGCGTAAACAGCCACAGAGTGATTACTTTGATGTAGGTTGAATAGCAGTTCACCACTAGTGCGACCCTCACGAGAGTGGTCAAAACATTGTGGAATTCAGTTAAGTTTAGTGATACTTTTAATGTGATTATATTTGTAATTAAGTAGAAATACAATTCAGAGGTAGGAATTTGAGCAGTTTTGTTAAAAATGTTGTGTCAGACATTAAGTTTACGATGGTAATCTAAGAAGTATTATGGGAATCTCATCTGAAAGAGCTCCAGTTGTCCAGTTTTATTATCTGGCTGATGCCTCTACTGATGCCAGCACAAGAGACCTTGCAGGGGTGATGGTGAGGTTCTTAAAGGATGGAGAACCAATAATAAACACTTTTGTGGCTGTGACTAGAGACTAGCGCTATACATAAAGAACTTTTTTTTATTTTGGTATCTTCCGAAATCAAACTGATATTAGGTCTACCCTAGCTAGAAAAGCACAACCCCATAATCGCATGGTCAGAACATGAGATATTAAAACAGTGGTCAGAGTTTTGTCACCAAACTTCACCCCCACAGTAGCTGTCAGATCCACTTCCATTGAAAGCCCAATGCAGAAACCTTCACTGAAAAACGCAGATCTCAAGGACGTAATAAAAATAACATTACTAAATTGCCACCTCATCACCCCTACAATTGTGCCATAGACCTAGTAGATAATCCTGTCCTTCGGAAATCTAGAATCTACCCCCTAACTCAGGAGGAAGAATGTGCCATGGACACCTACTTTCAAGAGGCCCTAGATCAAGGTTTCATTTGACCTTGCACCTCTCCCACAGCTTCTGGGTTCTTTTTTGTAAAGAAAAAAGGTGGGGGTCGTTGTCCATGTATAGATTACAGAGGACTTAACCAGATCACAAAAACTTATCCTTATCTGCTTCCTTTTATCCCTGCAGCACTGGAACAGCTGAAAGGGATTACCCAAATGCTGTTCAATCAAGTATTTAGGTTTTTTTGGCTTCCCCGAAGACATTCTATCTGAATGAGGCGCAAAGTTTGCTTCACAAGTCTGGACAGCATTTTTTAAACATGTAGGCATCTTTAAGCAGACCGTCATTGAGGCAAAACCCCCATCTACCAGCCAGGAGATCAAGTGTGGCTGTCGACGAGGAGCTTCAGAGGCATGGAGGGGAGTAGAAAACTCCAGCTGAAGTATATCAGCCCATTTAGAGTACTGAAAAGGATAAATGAAGTGACAAAATAATAACTAAAAAATAATCCTAGGATCCTGTTTGCGACTATATCCAAACTAACTGGTAACATTAAACAGTTTGAAGAAGATATTCAAACAACATATAGCAGCAATGATTTTAGCAGATTCTTCAATGATAAAATATTAGACATTGGAAAATATTAGACTACGAATCCAAAACCTGCCTATAGATCTATTATCACAACATGATGAGTGCCCTGCCACCCCAAAAGTCCAGGTGCTAGCTTTTAGTCCTATCCAAACGAATTAGTCACACTGATTTGCTCATCTAAATCATCAACATGCATTCTTGACCCAGTACTCACAAAACTGTTCAAACAGATTGTCCCCTGTGTTGTTAAACCCCTGTAGTCTAGAATAAATTCGTCCCTCTGTCTGGGATATGTACCAAAATCATTCAAACTCTCAGTCATTAAACTCTACTTAAAAAGCAAGATCTTGATCCCAATGAACTCGCCAACTATAGACCAATTTCCAGTCTCCCTTTCATTGCTAAGATCTCTCAAAAAGTGATCTTACATCAACTGTGCTCCTATCTACAAGAAAACTCTCTCCATGAGATGTTTCAGTCTGGCTTTAGACCCTTTCACAGTACTGAAACAGCATTAACTAGAGTAGTAAATGATCTCCTTGTGTCTCTCGATAGTGGCCATATTTGCATACTAGTCCTTCTAGATTTCAGTGCAGCGTTTCATATTATCGGCCACAAGATCCTCCTTGATAGGCTGGAAAATCTAGTTGGTATCAAAGGACAGGCTTTGTTATGGTTCCGATCTTATCTGACAGACCGTTATCAATTTGTCAGTGCACGCTAGTACAATATGGTGTCTGCTAAGGGTCATTGCTCGGGCATTTCTCTCTGTATGTGCAACCTCTTGGTAACCTAATTGGCGGATTCAGTGTTAGTTTTCACTGCTACATGGATGACACACAACTTTACATATCTGCTAAACCAAATGAGGCTCTAAATCTAAATAATCTTGAAGAATGTGTTAAAAATATCAAAAGCTGGATGACCAACAATTTCCTTCTTCTCAATCCTAACAAAACTGAGGTCCTACTATGTGGACCCAAAGCAGAGAGATCTCAACTCTCCAATTTTGAACTAAATTTAGATGGCCATACAGTCAGTCCAAGCACTACTGTAAAAAATCTAGACGTTATCTTCGATTCCAGTCTCACCTTTGATACACATGTTTGCAACATTGTTAGAACTGCATTCTTTCACTTGCATAACATCGCTAAAATACATAATATTCTATCCCTAAACGATGCGGAAAAACTTGTGCATGCATTTATAACCTCCAGGCTGGACTACTGTAACACCATTTTAGCTGGATGCTCCAACACTTTAATAAATAAGCTCCAACTGGTCCAGAATGCAGCTGCTAGAGTCCTTACAAGGACCAAGAAATTTGACCATATATCCCCAATCCTGTCATCATTACACTGGCTACCTATTAAATTTCGTGAAGAGTATAAGATCCTTCTCTTAATGAATAAATCAATAAATGGCCTGGCCCTGCAGTATCTTAGTGAATTAATTCAGCTCACAAAATAACAGCTTGCTGACAGTTTCCTAGAATTAGAAAAACCACAGCAGGTGGTCAAGCATTTTCCTACGTAGCCCCAAAATTGTGGAATCATCTCCCGACCTCTGTCCAGGACTCAGACACACTCTCTACATTTAAAACTAGACTCAAAACTTATCTGTTTGTACAAGCAATTTGCTAATATCACTCACTAATATCTCTCCATAAACAGACCTGTCCTGTTAATCAATTTCTTTCTCTCTCTCTCGCTCTCCCTCCCTTTATTTGAGCCCCTGAGCGACATCTGCCTGAGTCGCCACATGTGAACCACCAGAGCTGCTAGAATCACCAGAGCTCCATCTCTGTTGGCTGATCTGCACCTCACCTGCATGAACTGACCTTCCTGCTGATGCTGCTGCTGCATAAACTCAAACTAATCTAATTAACCATTGCTCCACATTCCAAGGCCATCCCAGGCTTCTTGGCGGGGGGCACTGTCACCGGCTCTGAGACCTCCATGGACTCCATCTCCCAGAATCCTCTGGGAGATCATGTGACTCCTGACCCTCCAACGCGCTCCAATCACCGTTCTGCCTCTCCTGAATACTAATCAGCTTCACCTATTTCTGTCTTTGTTTGCCTTGTTAGAGTTAGTATAAAGCTCGGGCTTTTTCTCTAGAACTATGTGAGGTATTGCATCTTTCGAGAGCTACTGAACGTTTTCTTTGGTACTGTTATTGCTGGATTTGACTACTTCTCTGTATTTTTGGCCCTGTTTGCCTTTGCCCTTTGGACTCTGATTGCTAATTGTTATGTTTGTTTGTGTGTACTTTCTGTCTCTTTTGGATTTGACCTGTGCCTGTTACCTGGCTGCGATTTTGGATCACAATTTAACTAGTAAATCCTTTTTTCCCTTTTTCATCCGCGAGCGTCTGAATCATTCTGGCACGTTACACAACCTAAAACTGCACTAGCAAACTTACAGAATCACATCTATCAAAACACAGCATAATTTTCTGACCACTGACATTCAGTCTTATATTTAACATTTATGTTTCTCTATTCAAACATCATTTAAATCTCCAGAAACAGAGAAGTAAAGTCATACTGGCTGTTTGAAGCTCCGTTAGGGGGTCGACTGTTTATCTCTCGCTGTTAACATCAGCTAAAGTTATCTAAAGGCCAGCATTGTTCACATCTGTGTTAATTAGCTGATGTTGTTACCCTCCTATGATGACAGAGTTTTTCTCCTCTTTATGCAACACCATGGGATCCTTTACCCACCCTGACATGAAGAGCCGGTGGGCTTCTGTGCTTTTAAATGCTTTGAAAGACTCTCCAGATTAGGCAGAGGGGCTGTCTGTGAGATAAATTTAAATGTCACGAAAACACCGATTTGGTATCTTTCCTCCAGTTCAAATGGGATCAGGAGTTGAGGGGGAAACTGTATAAGGATCATAGCCTATTTTGTTGACTGTCAAGGTAATGTTTTTTCTCTTCCAAAGTAAGGTGGGTAATTTTAGCCATCTTCCACCTCTAGTTACGTTCGTGAAGAGCAGCAAAGCCAGAAATTCGATCCCAAAAAATCAAGTCACTGAAACCATAGGATGATTTTTTTTTAAGTTTATACCAGTTGTCATAAAAGACATGTTATTGTCATTTAGCCTTGTTTACTTCACATACAGTAAAGTGTTTCCCAGCATTCTGATGAACAGGTATTACAAAGTGTTAGGAAACCTCACTGTACGAAGGCATATACTCTTGCTTTATGAAATGTTATATATGTTATTAAAATTACTTTAGAGCAATTATGCAAGTTAATGCCTGGTATTATAATATGTTACATATGTTATATAATCATTTATTAATGCATTTGTTATGCATTATGAATGCAGAATTCATAAAAAGTCTTACCACGTTTTGTTTTTTCTCTAAATATAGCCCTTTTGATTGTGACAAAAAAGGTCAATTTTAGACTAATTTTTAGGTTTTCTCAGGCAAAACTACAATGGGCAGGTTTGTTCTTTTTTGACAGCAGAGGCTTCTTCCTCTGCTGCAACCTTCCCATGAATACGATTTCAATTCACTGTTCATAAGCACAGTTACCTAAGATGCAGCAAGAGAGGTCTGCAAATTTCTAGATGTTATGATTGGGTTGGCTTTTCCCTGACGTATTAATTTTTTTCTTGAGGAAATTTTAAAATTGCATCCAAATTCTAAATGCATTCCATTTGTAAATGATTTACCTCACAGTGGGATGATGGAGTTTAAATCTTTTTGAGATGGTTCTATAGCCTTAGACTGATGTGCTTTCACTACCCTTTACCTGATGTCCTGTGAGACCTCCTTTCCTCATGGCATGGTGTGTTTTGCATTTTGCATCTTGCATGGGTAACACATGGGTAACACCATGGGCACCACTAAAGATTTCTTATCTGTATTTGTCCTGCCCAAACTCTTAACTAAGACCTGTCCTTTGATTAGTCAAATGGGTTCCCAATTATTTACCCACTTGATTTGACCAATGCAACTGCAAATTTTTTTAATTAATCGCTTTGTTTTTTCTACTATATGCATAATTTCCATGAATGTAATTCTTTCTTTGAAATTAAGATTTTATGTTAAAACTAATAAATCTATAATTGCACAAGAGATTCACAAACCTCCAAGCACCACTTTAAATACATTTTATACCCCATTTCAAAGCTGTCTTACAACTAATATGATTCTACTTATTAATTGCTTGCTGATAATTAAAATGTTAGGAAGCCGACCTTAAAATAAGGTGTTAACACTAAATGTACTTAAAGAAACATTTACATTAGCTAACTAATCATGTTTCTGAATAATCTGGTTAGTGAAGTTGAGTAGGAAGACTGGGGTTGGGAATGCTGAGATGTCAACCTTGTTTCTTTAGGTAGAGGTGGGGATCCAACCAAGCCAATAGATTTTTTTTTTTAGGCCAAACCATGTTTTTTGCAGGCCAGCCTGTTGGTAAAAGTGTTGCAGCTGGCTACATTTGGTCATCATTTGCATGACTGCAGCTCTAAGTCTCACAGTTTATTTATATATATGTGACACTGGACATGAATCACAATGTGTAATGTCAGCAGGATTGTCTGTGTATCTAGCACAAGGAAATACTGTTCCCATTTTTACCTGGGAAAATTAGGTGTGGGTTGAGCTCATTTGAATGTTGCACTAGGTAGTCTTTAGACACAGAGCAGTGCTCTTCTGTTTGAGGTAAGTGATCTATTTACAGTTTTACAGTTTTATTATAGTGAGGACATCAAAGCTAATATTGGTACACTGTCTGAAGAAATGTTCATTGTTTTTTTCCAGACTTTAATAATTTACAAGTCTATGTGGCAATGAAGTATTCAGTTATAATGACTGTGGTGCCTCTGAAGATGTTGGCAGTCATATTAATGATAGGTATGGTCATTATATATTGCCTTTTTCTACATTTTGCTGAGTCAACTGGAAGATACCTTTGAAAAACTTTGCTGAATGTTTGTTCCTTTTCTTTTTATATGACATAGGTGGACTCGCGAAGACACAAACTGGTAATTTCTCTCTTGTCATGTTTTGAATACATCATATTGTGTATTCATCTATTCCCTAAATGATTTTCACGTTGCTCTGGGTAACATGGCAACCAAAGCTTGTTGTAGGCTGCTTTATCTTCTTACCATGTTGAAGGCAAAGGGTGGACCTACTCTTACTAATTAAGTCTGTGGCACACCAAACACAGCACAGATGCTCATTCTTAACATAAAATAGTGTTTTGCTCTCTTGAAGACCCTCAACACAAAGAGTTAAGAGTGTGTTCACGTGAGGAGGGTGACTTGTGGCTGGCATTGCTGTAAAAGAAATTAAAGTTGTATTGTAATAACGTAGATCATACAAGTGTATCATGAATATATTATTTAAACTATCAACCTGATATACCTTATTAGTTCCACGCCTGCAGCCATCAAAACCACAGGTATGAAATAGGTCTGATTATTGTGGCTCCTGAGTACCTTGCTAAATGTCTGCAAGCCTGATCATTTAAGCTTGTATCATATCATAGTACAGAGCTGCATTATATATTTGCTAAAGCTGATCTACTATATGAAAGTTAGAGATAAGGTGGTGAAAAATCAAATGATTTTCCACTTAACCCAAATGCAGTGGATGAGCCAATACATGATTGGGGTTCAGAATGAACTTTTTTCAGATCAGAACTGGAAGTACTAGGCTAACAAACACTAAAAATCAATAATTACTCAAATCATTTACATTAACACTGGCCAAGACCTACTTAAACTGCTTTCAGGTCTTAAAGGAGAGCTACATAAAGGGGACCTTCAAGATTCTTGCATAATTAAATGTTTAAGATGTAAACAAAGTCATTCAGAGTGGTTTGGTGTGAAATGCTCCATTCTGGAGAAACTTACAAAGAAACTTGTTCACAGGGGCGGTAATAGGAATCAAACATCCACCTCTGAAAGCTCCCTCACAGAAAGTTATTACATGAACTGGTTAGGAATATGCTGCCTGATGTCTGAGACACTGTTTTATGATAGTTTTGTGATAACATTTTGCCTTAAAATGTATTTTTAATCCTTTTATTTGAATCCATTCATGGTAGAGGGATGCATGATACATTGATACATGGGTGTTCCAAGGCAAAGTAATCCACAAAGATTTTTTTTTCTTTTTTTTAACAATATTTTACCATCATCAACATTACCTTTAAAACTCAGAAGACACGTGTAGGTTCAATGATGGTTTTGGATAGTAAATAAAAGGTAAATATTAATAAATATTTGTGTTGTAGACAGCAAGACCCCTGGTTCTTATCACCACCACTGAAGTGATAAGAAGTGATAATCTGAGTCAGTGTTTTTCTACAAAGTAACCGTTTCACATCAAACCTCTCTGAATGACTATGTTTATGCAGGCATTTTGAAAAATCAGTGGAATTCCCCTATAATTCACGCTGCACGGACAAGTTGATGGGTTCAGAACACAGTATTACCAGTGGTGTAAATGGCCATGTTTTATAGGGGGATGCCTAGTTTTGTTGTTGTTATCTTAAATGGTAGGATATTTCAAGAGCTGAAAGTTGGAAAGGTGTTTTCTTAATACTTTAATCTTACTTCCTTACATCAGGGTATCTAATTTTTTTTTTTTTTTGGTCAAAGTTAAAAGAACCAAAATATTCAAATTCTGCATGTTCCCAACAATGGACTGAGTGTTGCACATAGGTGTCTATCCAGCCTATGCATTTTCATTACAGATTTTATAATCCTTAATGCTTTGATTAAACACCAGGAATTCACACACACACTAAACAGTTTAGTTGCAACTTACACCTCTGTCATTAAACCTATTTATTTTGTAGTTTAAACAAGCTTTTCAACAAGGCACACAAGAGCCAGCACATCATCAAATGCTTGTCAAAACATCTATTATTGCAACCAAAATACTAAACTACCTCCGTCATGATGTGCTCAAGACTGTCAAAAACATCCAGTGTCCAGTACCTTGGACAAGTTTATATTTAGATAATTAGCTTGCTCAAAATGAAAGGCTGACATCAGCAGGCTAATTAGCTCAGTT